CCTGCCGTGAGCTGCCGGGGCGGGGATGACGCAGAGGTGGCAGCAGGTTCTGGCTGGCACAGACCATCCCTGCGCTGGGCAGAGAGGCTGGAGTGTCCCTGCTGGATGCTGCCCTGGTCCAGCACTGGGCTCTCCAGCCCCTTTGGGCAGGTACTGGAAGGACCGTGGGACTCTTTCTCCACCCATGATTGCTCAGCTTCATGCTGGAGTGGCTTGGGTGCAGGTTGTGCTGAGCTGGGTGGCAGTGTTGGGCTGGGCAGGGACGGGCAGGGTGCAGGCAGATGGCACCCAGAGCCTGCTGGGGGCTTTTGGGGCTCAGTGGCATGAGGCTGTCCATGGGTGCGAGCTGCAGGCAGACAGACTCACCCTCTTGCAAAGCCCTGTTGGATTCAGGGCAGAAACCATCTGCCTGCCGTCAACATGCATGCAGGAACACGTGTGTGTGCACGCAGCACATGTGGGCCCAGGGACAGGATCTGACCCCTCAGCAATGCAGGGTTGTCTGTCCTCCTGCCACCAGCCATGTCCAGGTTGGGGCTAAATCTCGCGCATCCCCTGCGGGCCAGCACCCCACAGCAGGCGGGATGACCATTGCTGCTGGGTAAGGTAACACAGGTATCCGGGCAGCATCCACGTGTGTATATGCGTGTGCCCCTCTGTGCACATGTGCACATGGTCGTGCATCCCCGGCCATGAGCGATGGCCGTGGCGTACATGCTAAGCACACGGGAGAAGGATGCAGCAGGCATGCCCTGCGTGACCACCCACATACATGCACAGGAACACAGACTGATGCAGACATACGGGGCCAGCCCCGTTGGGGGTATGTGCAAGAAATTTTGTGGGGTGCATGCGCTTCAGCATGGGTCATTGTATGTATTTTTTTGAAGTTTGCATGCACAGACATGTGGGGGTACAGGGTTTTGCCTGGCGCCTGTGTTGGTACGTGTTCCTGTGCATGTATGTACATGGTGGTGCACATACGCAGAGCATGCCTGCTGCATCCTCCTGTGTGTTTAGCACGTACCCATGTCTATTCAGAGCTGTGTGTATGCCTCCTGGTATGCGTGTGTTGCTGCAGGGCCTCGGTCTGGGCGGCTGCAGGCTCAAGCATGACTCTGTGTTTGCATGGGGCCAGAGCTGCGTGGATGTGAGGGTGCAGGCGAGCATCGCTGGGCGCTGCCGTGCCAGTGCTGCGTGTGCTGCAAGGAGTGCGAGTGCAACCCTGGCCAGGCATCCCTGCCTGACTCAGTCTGCCGAAGGAGGGAAGATGGAGCGGGTACTGCACAGTGCCAGGCATTTTTTCTTCATAAACAAGGGTATTTGGGGCCAATTGGAGCATGAATAATTCCCGCAGCAGCCAATGGCTGAGTGCTGGCTCTATTGCAGCGCTCACCCGCAATGGAGGCCAAACCTGCCGGCGCTGCGCGTCGCGGCGAGGGGGAAGGGAGAGGGAGGGCTTAGCGCAGGGCTGGAGCTCCGCTATAAATCCAGACGAGGGGCTGAGCCAGCGCAGACCTCTGCTTCGCCCCAGCCCGCTGCACTGCTGTGCCCCACGCCAGGACCCCGTGCTCGGCCCAGCCTGCCCGTGCATCCTCGTCCACCTGGCTCCTCGCCATGCCTGAGTGCTGGGATGGGGTAGGTACCACTGTTCCCGTGGTCGCTGCGCTCCCTTCCTTGGGAGTTTTGCCCCAGAACCTCCCCTGCTCCCGCAGGCTGGACGTTTTCACCCAGCTGGGCTTGGCCGGGGCCAGGCGGGCGTTGGTGCGGGGGGGAGGTCCTGCTGCTGGGGAGCCCTTCCTTCCCCCAGCCCCACTGCCGCATCCCTGATGTGCTGCAGGTTTTGGGGACGCGTTGTCCTTGAGCACGTCCTTGCCAAGCCCAGCTGAGATGCTGCGCTGAGGCTGGGGGGGAGTGCGCAGGTGTGCTGGGGCTGACTGCTGATGGGTGGGGAGGGCGGGGGGGCACGCTGCCCCTTCCCCAGCCCCAGAGTTCCAGAGGGAGAGGGTCTCTTGCTGTTTTGAAGCGATCCCTCAGATGCTTTGCAGCCTCTGCGGTGATGGCAACAGGCTGGTGCAGAGGTGGGGGGGGAGCGGGGCGGGAGGACTGCAGAGGCGAGCGGGGAAC